GCAGGGACACCTTCCACTAGACCAGGTTGCTCCAAGCCTCATCCAGCCTGGCCTCAAACACTTCCAGGGATGGGGTATCTCAGCAGAATAGGTTTGCTTTTTCACTTTCCCTTAAACATAGTTCTTCAACCCGCACTTGAAGACCCAAAAGCCCCTGTGGATTGATTTATCTCGCTGGTACATTCCTGAAAGCATTGGGTGTTTCTCGTGGAAGTGTAGCAATCAGCCCCTTACACTCTCTCAACTCCCAGCGACCTTCCCAATCCTCCTCATGATTTTCATGGCTCCTCCTTGAGGCATTTTGGAAAAGAAGTTACCGAGACGCTGCTGGAGCAACGAGACCAGGAAAGGGGGAGAACTCTTCCTTGTCCTCTTCCCCAGGATGCAGGATGAGCTGGAACAGACAGCCCAAGAGGAAGGGCAGCCCCTTCCTTGCCAAAATAAGGAATTTTGCAGCCTCAGGCCAGGACTAGGATGTCAGGCCAGGGTTCACAAGCTGCGCTGAGCTCAGCACGTTCCACCTTACACCATCCTTTGGGTGAGGATGTCCGTTTTCTTGGACCACACCATGCTCTTTCCAGGACAGATACAATTCACAGCAGAAATACCAATTAGTACCAAATTAACGCCCATTCCCTCTCTGTGACTCTGCAACTTTACCTGCACTAAAAACTCCAACCGGAACTGCCACAGACTGTTCCATTTCATGCATGCAATCCTATCTACTTCAGAGGGATTACAGGGGCATTATTAAATTCAAGACCAGGTCCCTTTAACTGTTTATATCATTTTTAAGCCGTTTTAACTTACTGCAGTTATGCAGCGAAAGCATTTTAAAACCAGGTGGAAAATCATTAGTGTTTCACAACCAAAGGGGAAAAAAGAATATATTTATATGGATGCTAAGTGGAGATGGAGCATACAAAGCTTTATCTTCTCGTGATGTAAATCCCAGGCAGCGTTCTGTTTGGAAATTAGACCAGATGGATTCCAGAGTGCAGCCCAAGGTCATCTAAATCCTGTGTTCCGCTCCAAACCGTAAGCGCGACCATCATGAACCACACAAAGCCATCAACAGAAATTTAATACACCGTCAGCTACTCGGCGATCTTCTGAGAGCGCTTTAAATGCTCCTTACCCTCGAGTGCAAACACACAAACAGCCCTTGTTTCAAAGGGAGACAGCGGGAAGGAAGTCTCTCTGCATGTGGGTATCGTAGGGAAAAGCACGTTCAGGCTGCGGCTTGGTAAGTAGGTGCCTTGTAAGAGCGAGTTGTTGGACAGCCAGATGGTTCATTTAATATTGTCTGATTCTGGACAAGTTCCATCACTCACCTGCAGCTGGAGCCCAACTGCCTGCTCGCAGAGCTACACCACCGCAGCATTCCGTGCGCTCCCTCCCGGGTCACCTATTGCCAAAACAACCAGAGACACAGACCTCGTTTAGAGCTCGTACTCAAGTAATTACTTTACTACCTTGCAGGATTTAAGACTGACTTTAATAGAAAAAAAAAAAACCCTCTCACTAATGACTGACACGTAACAGGGTGTCAGCTGCTCTATTTTTAACCCCGTGTGCCCCAGCGCAGCGCCCTGCCTCCCCGCGCTGCCGGAGCCGGCTCAAGGTGACGGCTCGACCTCTGGAGCAGCAGCTCAGCAGCACCCGAGAGCGGCCCCATGACCCCGAGGGTTAACTCCTGCCCAGAATATTGCTTTTTAAACACAGAAAAGCAACATTATGCATTTACTAGTAAGGTTGTTGAGAACCATGGAGATGATTTTACGCTACCCCGTAGGAAATGTTACACACCCTCTACACTACTGTGGTCTGCTCCTTGACGTGGCCGTTCATCCTTAACTCACCATTCTTTTAAATGTTACCTACCTTCTTTTAATTTTAACTACACCTTTCGTTGCCACAGCCCATCTCACCTGGAGTTCCTACTTTTCTTGCCCAGGATTTCTGGGCCTCCTCCTCAAAGGAACGCTCCAGTTTGGGAAACACCAGGATAACCGGACCACGCAAAAGACTAAATCACACAACCAGGAAATACTTCCACTTGTCTTTTTTACCTCAGACCAAGGCAATTAGCTTTTCCATTAGGCTAAAACTGGTATTTTCCAATGAAATCCAAATTTTTTTGTAGCAGAAAGTCTGAAAGACTAATGGATTAGTCTGCTGAGCCATTACATCTGCTGACTCAGACTAATACCGCGTTTCCAATATGCCACAGAAATGATGTGGGAATTTTTTTAAAGAGTATTCAGCAAAGCAGTTAAACTCAGCACATTTAGACATTTCTGCGTAGATCTGTTCCGTGTATCTTTTCACAGAGGGTAGGAACCTTTTATAGCTCTTGAGAAAATGGTGAGAGCTCAGATCACTTGGAAATTTCAAAATATTTGTTCCTCCAATGACTACTATGTAAACCCAGAACAGAGCCCTGCTGAGGAATCCTTCTCTATGTAGATCAGAAGGAAAGGCAACTTGCACAGAGTCCTGTAAGGCACGAAAGAGGATAGAGAAATTGAAGTATATTTTTCATTTTCCTGCCTGTTTTCCTCAAGCAGCACCAGATTTCTCCAGATGTAGAGAAAACAGCATTTGCAGATATGTACAAAAGTTTATTTTACAAACAGCAACTACTTTTGAATAAAAAAATTGCAAAAACATAGACCAAAAGTTAGAAAACCAGCTCAGGGGTACATTTTTTTTTTTTTTTTATGAAGTACAATTTAAAAGAATTCACTAAGTATATATATAAAGTCCCCATTCCCTCCCCAACCATCTACCAGATGGAAATTCATTACAAAGCTTTACAAGATAGGAAATAAACATTAGTGACATTGCAGTAATTTTGGACAAGTAAATGAATTGATTGACCATATTTCTATTACCTTCCCCTGGCCTTAAAAATAATAGTCAACTCAGATCTCAAATATGACAAGGTCCAATTCTGGAGCCATTTTTTCTCTAGTAAGTATTGAATGGCAATGTTCATATTTGTGTATTTTGTTACATCACTACCCCCCTAGTTCTATTTTCTCAGTAAGGGAAAACCAACAAGTTACATTTAGGCTTGAAGCTATGAAATTGCACCAACCATTGTCTTGAGTTAGCAAAGAATGATTTCTTCAGGACTCTGGAATGGGTGCTGCTGTTAGAAACGTGTCTGTAAATGTGTACTGACTCGAGTAATAAGTGTACTTAACGTGAAAAAGCATAAGCAGCTCACAAAATATTGATTCAAAAGGATAACGTGCACACAATTCCACTGAACTACAAGAGTAGTAAGGGTGTAAGTCCCCAGTTATGTGGTCTAGAAAATGACAAATTCAGGTTTAGGAACCTGTGCACAAATGTCTTATTCAGCTGTTTGTGGACAGAAATGGAGGGCATTGTTACAGTCTTCAAACTTCACTTTGAACTTCCTTTTCATGTTTCAGATGTGTACCAAAAGCTAATTTTGGATAGTTTAACTCAATCAAAGAGACAGTATGAATTGATGTGTAAGCAAAAAATTACCACTTTTAATTTTCAAAGCTGTTGGGTCCCACTGAGGTTTAAAAAAAAAAAAAATCATTTTCAATATTTGAAAAACATTTGAGACAATGAAAGCATCTCAAGATATTACAGTAAGTCAGTAATGAAAACTATTATAATACAACAGTGCTCATTAGCTCTAGTAAAGCTATGTTAGTCTGTTTTCTCACTACAGACCCACTTTTCAGGTTACATTATGCCATTAAAAAAAACCCTGTTTCTCAATACACAACTTTCTAAACACTGAGAAACTTGACAAAATTATTTTAAATCAACCCAATTCAGAATATTGCAGAAATTACTCTGCAGCTTAATCCTATTTTGGGTGTTCGTTTGGGGTTTTTTTGCAAAACCTGTAACAGGGAGTCATTTTTGGTATCGAACTTCACTTTGAAAGTATTGCCCATGCTTTTTATTGGGCATACCAGTGTTTTTGTAGTCACATCACTTTAACAACATGTAGTTCAATATATGCAATATCAATATCCAATAGTCCCTATGGCAAATGGGATACATCTACAGACATTTTATAAAGGAACCATTATGGTTTGTTTTCTCAAAAAATTATCACCACACAAGTTTTTCTTAAAAAAAGCGTTTTGAACAAATTCATAACATACTCAAGGGTTTACAACATTCAACTCTAGAAATGTGGTGAAGTACACCAAGCACTAATACAAACTGAAATGAAATTCAGGAAGCGTTCAGAAACACTTTTTTAGACTCTTGTGATAAACAACGTCCCTAAAATTCACTTTTACACACAGAAGTTTAGACAAGTTGAATAGTAAGATCAAAACTCATCACACTTCTGCTCACTGCTTGTCAGTTTGACAATTCCCACTGCATATAACCCTACCCTTCTCAGCAGACTTCTGTAACATGACGGTGCAGTGAGGGTTAAGACAGAGCGGCAGTCTTTGTTTTCATCACCTAGCTGTTGTGTATATAATGCAATAATCAACAAACCAGACAGCACGGAACCCATTCTTCTGCATTAAAAAAAAGCATTTTAACAAACTACAAACGGCAGCCTTTGTAAGAAGGCATTTTCACAGTTGTAGAGTTGCTAGCATATCTTTAATGTAACAGGCAGAAAGCCCCAAGGTGTTTATAAACATAGTTGAAGACAGTACTGATCGCTGCACCCGGAAAAGTGGTGGCAAATTCACCTAAGTGTCATTCATGGCTTGGGAAATCCAATTCAAGGAAGTAAAACTGTTTTTTCTGGTTTGTAAAAGTAGACATTAAAAAGAAAAAAATTAAAAAACCCACCAAAACAGTTGAGTCGAGCTCAGTACTTCTCTCTGTACGCACAGTCGAATTCACTGCTAAATAGTAAACTTCCAGCTAACTCAGCAAACACCCTTCGACTTCACTTGTGACGCTGTCAAAACAGTTTTTAAACATAACACTGAAAATTATTAAATACGATTTCCACCGTCAAAGAAACCTTTTCAGCTATATCTGCTGCTTTCACTGGGACTTCGATTGTTAGAGTAACTGCGATCACTTTCACTGTCAGAGCCATAAGATCTGCAAAGAAAAGATTAAAATGCCTCAAAATGGTATTTGGAGCTTCAAATTCAAAATTGTATCATGTAAATAGTTGTCAAGACAGACACCCATGAGACAAGAAACACACATACAAGGAGTCTTTTACAGGATCATACTCCATAACTGAAGCATTCATTGAGACACTCAAAATTAAAATAATTAACTTTACATGATGAAAACCCTGTGTAACTCAAGTCAAACTGTGTTTGAAACTAAAAAATTTCTTGCTTTCTCTGACACAGCTGAGAAATCATCCAAAATCACCATTTTTGTAAATGCTAATAGCTGACTGAAGTATATTCTACCAAATATAACCTTATATTGCAAGCATTTCCCCAGTAAGGTAATTTCACAAGTTCTTGCTTTATATACTGCATTTTTTTGTTTGAAGACATAGAAGAATTAGGCCCCATAACAACAACAACAGGAGTGTGCGAGTGCAGAGGGGAAGTTGTAGATTAAAACAGTTTGGCTTATCCAGAAGAATTCCAAGCACCTGGCCAAGCATGAAGACAGAGTCCAGATGGTTTCAGAAAAGCCACAGGACATATTCAAGTTACACAGAACAAATGTTCATCAGACATCTTCTAGCCTCATGCCTGTAAGGAAAGCTTTCTAAATGAAAGATGAGCATATCCTAATCCACCATTGTTTCTCTCAAGCTTCCCAACATCCTAAAACAATGATTTTCTAAGTCTATTTCCACACTCTTCATTAATCTCATCAATTTCCCCTCGAGCACAGGATATGAGTTGTCTTACTGTCCGAACTAGATGGGGAAATGGAGCAAAGTCCATGAAGAGTTGGTAAAGACTTGTGAAAAAATGAGCCTGAGGACAGCAAAGGATGAAAATTTACAGTAGTCACAGATCTGCCTGATTTGCCACTGATTAACATGGGACGTATTAAAAGGTGCAAAACGAATCAGTGATGATTCTATATAAAATATAGAATTTGTTGTAGATAGAGAGCTCCTGTTCCACTTCTGATCCTTGTGGATGTGCTCACTTACACCTATGTAGTTCCCTGGACTAAGCAGAACAAAACTGATCCTAAATTTACCAGAAGCATACTGGATTTGCCGGTAAAATATGTTCTAGGAAGTTAAAGATTAATTCTGGAGAGCACCACATTTTTTTAATCTCCCTTCCAGAATTTTTGTAAATCCACTTTGGCAGCTGTAAGAATTTATCATCCAATGGAATTCTCTTTGCATACTGGGTAGCTTTTAATCCATAACAAGGCACTTGACTTAAATCTTGAGAGCTAGTTCACTGTAGTTTTTAAGAAACAGTTAAAATTATTAAAAAGCCCCAAACATGCTTATTTTGAATATGTGCAACAAACTGGAGCCTTCTCAGATCTTTCTTATGCTAATTTATTCCCCATCCTGAAATATAGTATGTCAGGAATTCCAATTTCTTTGCTCACACACTTGCTCCAATTTTACTTTGTTTTAATTACTACTTTTGGTAATGACATATTTTTTATGCTGGGGGGGAAACCAACCTTCATGAACATCGTAAGTATGCATTTAGCCAGTTTTTTTGCACAAATAGAGTGCCCAAGTCACGCTAGCAAACCGTACCTGGATCGCCTATCGTAACTCCTAGATCTCCGATAGCTGTCACTCCTTTTACTTCGACTTCGACTCCGGCTGTAGTAGCTATCATACGTGTACGACCTACTGCGAAGGGAAGAGAAAGCAGTGGCAGACTTACATTTAAAATAACACTGTAGACAAGGAACTGTATGCTTTAAATACATTTATACAGAGAGATGAGTAGCTACATAGAAATTACTTTTGAAAGATGTGGCAAGGAATAACTCTACGTTTTCTAAAAGGTTAAATACAAGAACAGGCATCTTCAAACCAACAGTAAAACTTTCCAGTTTATTAATCTAGAAAAGACTTTTTAAGTTCTTAAGTTTTATGTTGTCTCCACAAGCTGCACATGCAGCAAAAACCTTGTTTGCGGATATTTCTGAAAGCAAGTAGCAAATTGATTCCATTTATAACTCAATTTTAGCAATAAAGCGAAATGTGTTCACTGTTACTTAGATCATCACCTGTAAGTGTAATGGCAGGATGACTTATTATCTTCAGCTTTTAAAAGTGTCTTATGTTAATTCGGCTTTGATTCAAGTTGCTATCATGGTATTACAAGAACCATAAAGGGGTATTCTTGTACTTCTTATAAAAATACCTTAGTATATTTATTGCAGAGCTCGTATAGAACTACAATCCATACCTGGATCGACTGTGATGGCCATAAGAACTACTTCTGGATCTACTTCTACTATAGGTTCGACTGATAGAAACAAAAAACAGAGGCATTTTAAGTTAGTCACAAACAAGTGCTGAAGAGAGCAGGGGAAGAGGGGGAGAGAGAAGAACATGTTTTGCTCAGAAGTCCGTCTCAGTATGACAAAAACATTAAAAAAAATTAATTCTTATTAATAGGAAACTTTGAAATGTGACTATTCTAACAGGCACACGTCAAGTTGATACTTCAGCCTGCAGTAGGGCTAACGAAGCACATTTCCAGCTCGCTCAGAGACTGAAGCATCGGGCTGCTGTGCCCAACACACTGGTTCTGTAACACAGCCCGACACCACCTCCAACGAGAGACTTACCTACGACTCTTGTAACTGTGGTAAGAACTACTTCGACTTCTTGACCGATCTCTACTATACCATCCTCTGCTTCGGCTTCTTGTATAGCTTCGTGACCTACAGTCAATGGCGAGCAGCAGAAAAGAGGAAGCAAAAGTATTACAAAGCTTTATCTTTTAAGCTAAGTATTTATTCCATACTTGCTAAACAGTACAGTGTTGTTTAAAATAAAAAAAGAGAGTTGAAAAGAAAGACATGCCTTAAAAACACCACAACTTCATGTTAACAGGTGGGAATACCACAGATGTCTTACCTGTACGAGTAGGTAGAACTCCGGGATCGACTTCTTGAGTGGCTATAAGATAGGGACCTTGTTCTGTGTCTGGATTTAGATTCAGATTTACTTCGGGACCTACTAAGGCTCCTGGACGGGCTATTGTCATCTCTACTGGGAGATTCTTCCTCACTGGAACTTTCTTGGTTCCTTGGCCTTCGATTTAGCCGTGCTGTTTTTCTAACCTCATCAAACAGAGATCCAGGCCTCACTTTATTTTTAGCTTTTATTTCAATTCTTAACCCTGCTGGTTTAGGCTCTGGTGCCGAAGCTGCGTTCTTCGCTTCTGCAGCAGTACTAACTGTGGCTGGTTGTAAGTTACCAACACCTTGCAAAGGCTTCCATTTATTATCTGTCATAGTGCTTTGTGTATTTTCAGTGATTTCACTTTTTAAACTAGAGTCTTTAGCACTAGACACAGGGACAGAGTTATTTTCTTGCCTTCCCGTTTCTTTCTCTTCTTTAATATTAATAAAGTCTATAATATTGTTTCCTTGTTTGACAGCATCTTGTTCAGGGGTCTCAACCTGTACATCTTTGTTTACACTAGCACTTAAAGCCTGAGGTTTAGCAGCGAGAACGACAGGAGACAAAACGTCCACTTCAACCTTCCCTGGCGAGTTACGATCCGGAGTACAAATCTCCATGTTGTCATCTGTCTGAATAACATCTTCCAACCCGTTGTCGTTACTTTCTTGTTTAATCTCATTCTTGCCATCAGTCCCATTTACTCCCAAGTTTAAAATACTGGCTGACAAGTTTGTTTCAATGCTACCGTCATTCAGGTGACTGTGATCTGGTGAGACGTCACGTGTAGCGTTACTACCCAAAAGGTTTTCATCCTCACAAGGCTTTTCACCATTTCCTATTTTATCTTTCACTGTTTCATCCTTTTCATGCACTTGGTTTTTATCCTTTATGTCCCTGGCAAGCTGCTTTTCTTTTTTATCGTCCTTGGTAACTGGCTTTTCGTTTATCTCATCATCATCTTCTTCACCAAACTCCAAGGGGGGCTGCCAATGAAACATTTCTTTTCTCTTCTCAACTTTGTGTTTCTTTTCCTTTTTCCCTTTCAATTTTTCTTTTGCTTTTTTGGAATGTGATTTTTTAAGAGTTTTTTTCAATCCGTGTTTGTGTTTTTTTGACTTTTCTCTAACATTTGTTGAGCTAGAACAAGAACTCTCCGACTCAGATGATGACAACTGTTTGCTTGTCTTCCACAAACAATCAGAATCCTGAAAACTTTCTGAAGAATTTGATTGGGTTTTTATCCTTTTGGTAACGCTAAGCTCTGTATCAGACCCTGATGTGGCCTCTCCTTCTTCTTTACTGGAGGAGGGTCTGGAATCCCCCCTATTATGCCGTGCCTCTCCTCTTTCAGAATTTGATTCAGAGTCCCATTTACTACCTGAATAGGATTTTCGTTTAGTTTTTGCACCACCTCTAGGTTGCTCAGAAGATTTCTCCTTAGCTGCTTTCTTTTTAGCATGGTCATAATCTTGCTCACACTTGGCTTTCTCCTCCCCTCTCTCAGAACTCAAGCTATTTTTATCCTGTTTCCAAGTATCTCCTTCTAATTGAAAACGGCCTTCTTTCTTTTCCTGGACTGCTTTCATTTTGGCAGAACGCTCACTGTCAGTTGAGAAGTCCGAAGACGACAAACTGTCGCTCTCTTTCAGTCCTTGGGAAGACTCATCATAGTCTTTCGCACACTTGTAAGGGAGAGTACTTTCAGAGCTCGTTTCTTGCCTCGGTTTAAGAGGCCGAACTTTTTGACCACTTGATGTGGATTTTCTTTTGTTTCTGCGTCTGTCATAATCACTGAGGGAATAATAAGACGTCGACTCGCTATAACCTGACCTGTCACTGTGGTATTTACCCCGTGATGGTGATCTGCCAGAAGAACGCGATTTTGATTTTGACCTGGAGCTAGATGGACTCCTAGATCTTGTATAAGATCTTGAGTATGACCTACTTCGAGAGGACCTGCTTCTTGATCTTTGCCAACTCTCTGAGCTTCTGTCACTACGATATTTGGAACCACCGCTTCGATTGCTATCCGAACTCCGCTGTCGCTTACTGTAGGAGGAAGTAGTGTTAGCCTCTTTAATGACTACTAAATTGTAATTAGTTTGTGGGGGTATTAAATGGGTTGTTTTAGCTTTCATTTCCTGAATTCGCTCGTAAGAGGGTTTCCACGGTTTCTGCCCAGGTTTCCACCTTGAAGGCGGTGGACTATCGCTTAAGGGTATAACAGGGAGGTTTTCTGGGACAACTGGTGGTACCACAACTTTTTACGGGCTCAGCAGCCTTGTTCAACTTATTCTCATTTAATCGTGTTGAAATATTTCGTGGAGAATTGGGAACTGTCTTTTGATGCCGAGGGTTAGAACTTGACCTAGACCTGCTTCGAGAATGTGACGATTTAGAGGCTGATCTCGATCTAGAACTACTTTGGGAATAAGATCTTGATTTAGACCTAGATCTAGATCTGGACCTGTAGTATGATCGAGTCCCCCTACTTGATAAAGTTGATGATCTTCGGTCTTCCTTATCAGATTTAGACCAGTCCCTTCTGGATGAATGTCTAGAAGACAATGAAGACGAACGGGATTTCCTTGCACGATCACAAGATGATTTCATCCTCCTGAGGAAGGAATGAGAGGATTCTACATCTGATGAGGCTGATGTTTTCTTTCTTTTGGTTTGCTTGTGCTTCTTTAAATGCTTTTGCTTTTTAGATTTCTTTTTATGTTTCACCTTCTTTTTCTCCTTTCTGTGCTTTTTGTGATGGCTGGAATATCTCACAGTACTTAGATCAGAATAACCGTTGTGTGACCAAGATCTTGATCTCCGGGATGCACTTCTTTCATCCCATCTGCTTGTACATGGATCACTCAACCTTTAAAAACAAAAAAGCCCCACACTAAGTGGATTTTTTTCTTTTTAAGTCAGATAAACTATTTTCCTCACCTCCAATGCAATTAATGAACTTCAGAAAAATTAACACATACCCCCTTTACTACCAGACAACTGTTTTGACTGAGCTTGTTACACTCCTATTAATACACAGAATTACACCACTATCAAGAGAGCTGCTTCTCTGAGAAATTAATCAGCCAACATCATCAAATTTTGCATATTGTAGAACATAAAGAGGTTTAATGTTTTAACTACCTCTGTCCACAGGACTTTGACATGTTAGATTCTTAAACCCCATTTAAATATCAATTTTGAAACATCATTTTATTTAGTATTCTTCCAGCTGGTACACAGCAATACAGCAGCAAACTGAATGCACTCAGTATATAAAAAGAACCATCAGAAACATGTGCAATTATACAATAATGATATATATAACATCATTCAGTTTTCCTTTCGGGGTTTATCTATGATGATTTGATATGAGCTCATATTTAGTATCAAGTTGTCAGAAACTCTGGAGAGCTGGCTTCCATCACAGAATTTTCATTGCAGAAAGAACATATAAATAAACCAATATAAGACAAATTGTCTTATTTGGTATCCAAATAATCCATATAACCAAGTTTGAGGCTAACAGAAATCTGACATGACTAGCTCTATCAAAGCAACAGAAACCGTACAAGTCAATTAATTACTTCTTAATTAAGTATCCAAGACAGCACTATCAGAAACAACTTTTCTGTATCTTCATCGGGTGTCACATTAGCAAGTAGAAAGGTGTTAAGAAAGTTTTCCACTTCCAATTTTCAGAATTTACATGGAATGCGCTAACTAAAGATATTTGCATTTTTTTATTCAAACACAAGTGACATGGTACATCTACTAATGCTTCTGTAAAAAAACAAGAGATTTGGAATTTGTAGTAAGGAACCTACTTATCGCCTTTACTCCATTTTTCTCCACTAGGCGCTCTGTATGTTCGTAACCTCTGCATTTCCTCTTTCCAGTGAGGAGGGGTCTCACTGCTCTCGTCATCATCGGATTCAGAACACGATCGTGATCGAGGTGGGGTGTGATACCGCTACGAAAACAAATAAATCTATTCTTATTTAAATGAGACTGGAATAATGAAGAAAATACACAGGTGCTTCTTTTCATAACACAAAGCAGGCAACATTACCCACACAAAGTCCAATAAGAAAGCACAATCTAGATTTCCTGCCAAAGATACCCACTTTGGGTATGCATATATCCCACGTGTGACACTAGATTACATCGCTAACTCTCTCACAGTCTGAGAGCGTATCACAAGGCTTGAGAGGAGCCGCAGCTAACTCATTCTTGCAAAACGTGGAAGGATGAATTGAGGAGTCTCTTGTGCAACACCTTTTGGAATAACACAGTTACTGAAGATAAGCAACTGTTTTTTCAGGATGCTAAAGCACAGATGTGTCACTTCAGTTAACAGACACTTAACTGGTTGTATGTGTAAAGATAAGCCCCATTTCAAAAGTTACTGCTGTTCAGCCCTTCAGAATCAGGAACACAGTTTAAGATAGCTTCCAAGCAAAAAAAAAAAAAAAAACCACCACACACACCACCACCAACAACCAACCAACAACAACAAAAAATATTTCAGAGAAATGGGATGAATCTTCACACTTAAAGTTATGCTTCGGCACAGTGTTTAAGTGGGCAATAAGAGCTACTTGTGCAGCAGAGGAAGAAACTCCAATACTGCTAGCTCATTATTTTCCATTACCCAGTTGGATACATACTTAGGTACATTCTGTGAGGAAATTAGATGCTCCTTGACTCAGTAAAAAAAAAAAACCCACACCTGGATTGTACTTAATTATTTTGAGTAATTTATAAAACCAAGCAATATGTAAAAGAAATAATTATATTAAGTTATACATATATATATACACACACACACACAATTTTCCCCAGAAAGATGACTCTACTGGTTTATTCAGTTAATTACAGGCAAAAGTCTTTTAAGACATCCTATTCATATATACAAAAAAAAAAAAGAAACTTCCATGAAGATTCAGAGCTTCCCAATTTTTTGAATTGAAGTAATGACTACTTAAAAAAAAGCCATTCATCTGTAACAGCATATAATAGGTGGAAAAGATCATTCATGGATCTTCCTCATTCTATAATATAATACTCAGGAGTGTCTCAGAACCTAAGAGGATTCAAAAGTGCAAACAAGTATCTTGAAAAAGATCAAACAAGTTCACCCTGGGTAGAAACTGTTGCTAACTTAGACTTTATGATCTCAAAGGTCTTTCCCAACCTAAGAGATTCTATAATTCTAATCAAACTACTAGACATGGCAGAAAAATGTGTTTCTCCAACTACTTACTAGAACTAAATTATTTCTGATATTACTGGTTTTCATTCTTACTTCTGCCAAGAGGTTGCCAAAATTACAAGAACAAGGCAGAAACACCCAAATCCCTGGCAAAAGCCAATTCCACTCAGCTTTAAGCTATTTTCCTAAGGTCTTTATTTACATAAATATTGCAAACCATTCTGTTTAAAAGGCTTCCTTTAGTGGCTCAACGTGTCAAATACAAACGAAAGCTGTCATATGCAAAGACAGCTATCAGAATTGATGTCAAGGCTGGCAAATACAGGTTGGTTCTCAGACAAGGTCAAACACTACAATACCTTGATCCACGCTCCAGCCATCAATGCTGCTAATCTTGTGGCTTAAAACAATTGCATCATGGGGATCAGTAGAAAAGTGCTTCTCAAATCCAGTGGCTATCACTTAAGAAAATCATGCTCAGAGGAGTGCCAGTTAACATCATTCTACCAAAAAGTGTCTTCAGCTATACAGATTTTGATCTCTATATATAAACTCTTGAGAACTTCCATACGCAAAAATATTTGGCAGGAGCAAGCCTTGGTTTGGTAGTAGTTACCCAAATGCCACCTACTAAACTGATCCAAGAAAACATTCTGAAGGGGAAGAATACACTCTATCATAGTATGCTACCATTTGAAATGCACCACTACAAAAGCTCTTCTTACTTTCTCCCCCTTCTCCTCAAAAAAAGAACAGTGTAGCTGCTGTTTTGGGCCCTGTATTGTGGGTTATTAGGGGAGACAAGAAAACTTTTGCTTGAGTACAGCGGAACTAACTTCACAATACCAAAGATCTGAAGTGGAAATCTGCATAAACAGGGCAAATAGTTAGGTGGGAAAGGAAAAAACCCAGGACCAAGTCTGCACATAGGAAGGAAATAACTTCTTGCCCATGCATCATCTATGAAAATTACAGACTCAGTCTCAACCAGGACAGCTGACAGAATTTGACAAACTGCATTACGTAGCTAAAAAAAAAGGAAAGAAAAGGCTGACTTAAAATGTCAAAAAGCAGAAGATACAATATGACTTTGCCGATGTTGCCAGAAGAACTGTTTTTTCCTCAGCAACGTATGCACAATCACGAAGGTGAAAATGCCAGCACTCGGAAGGACAAGCAGTATGATATCAGAAAGGGCTGTACACTTTGGATGCTGTAGAACAGCTCTGTCTACTGTTACGTGGTACAGCCCCGAGGCTTAAGAAAAACAGCAAGGAAATTCAATGGGTGGAGGAGAGTAAAAGCTCTTGTCCCTCCTCTTTAATTTACATCTTGTGGTTTACGTGGGACAAATCTGGCTGAATTAATTTTGATCTCTACAAAGACATAGTTTTATTCTTATGCTTGAAGACTTCTCATAGCTGAGGAGTAAGCATTTGTTTTCTGAAACAATCTTTAAGTAAGAAGACAGTAATGAGAAGGATGGCGAAAAAGTGTTATAAAATGACCACCTGACAGCAGTATTCTGGCCTTCTAAGCTAGAATCTACAACCTGTCAACAACAGTTCAAGTGTCACACAAAGCATTCAAGAAAATTCAAAGCTCAAGGTGAGAAAAGATACTCTGGGTGAGAGGAAAGGAAAAAAAAAAGTAATTGACACATACTATTGTGCCTCTTCCTTTAATTTTTCGTCCAGATTTAGAGACTGATGGTTTCTGGTCAGTCAGAACTGGCGTAGCATCAAGAAGCTTCCTACGTAAATTAATAAAATATGAGCTTACATGGGAAAAAAATTAGTTTAAGTTCATTTTTAAGTTAATCATGCAAAATATTCATCTTATTCATTTGTGAGATGGCAGAACTGAGAATTCTGTGAACTCTCCAGGAAATAACGCAAGCCGCACGGTTCTGCAACGAAAGGCAAATCAGGATATACCAAACGCATAGCCTATCTGACCTCTCTCTGTGCAAATAAACGTTAAAAATGAACTTGAAAAGGTCTCTGCTAACATGGCATGTGGCTTTTCCAAAGAGGCTGACTTGTGTTTGGTGGACAAATCATGAAGACAGCATGGGCAGAATAGTTCCAGGAGCTCAGTAGTTATATAACATCATCTGGAATAGGGATGGCAACTCACAATATCTTCTAAAGCCTTGCTTCTTTCCTGAGCAACAAGAGGCAATCAGCACTCCTTTTCACAGTCTGTGTAACGTCCTCAAAAGAAGCAGTTACAAAGGCTTTGGCAACAAGAGTCAAGTTTCAAAACAAACAAAAAAAGGCTTACAGAAAACTATACCTTTAACCGAAATAAAAGAACCCACCCAAACTGATTTTAAAGATAACCTGTAATGTAATGGATGAGCTCATCCCAGTCCAAAAGCAAATGAACTTTGACAGAAAAAGAACCTAACTGCAATTTGGCAGAGGTGCAAAACACAAATGGAAAGTAACTTGTGAACTCGTGACTTCCTTTGTATCAAAAGAAAAGTATTTTCTCTTATTCTCAAAATCATAGTTGGGTCATAAAATTCTGGTGGACTGATTTTGATCCAAAGTGTCTTCTTCAGTCTAAGAAAGATGAAAAATCACCTCTCCCAGTGCCAAGTCTCCCTCGCAAATCAAGCATTTGCTGTGCTTTACACTGTAAAACTTATTCTGGAATTATTAATTTTTCTTGCCTCATCTGTAATTAAGTTTAAGGTTGTAACCTGCACAATCCTTAAGGACCAATTAAGGTAACTCATTAGATCACTGAAAAACCCTGACACCAGAAGGGTTTTGCAATCTATTGTAAGGAATATTACAGAGAAAACTGGAAAAAGGACAATTACTCTACCTCGTTTAGAAATTGTGAAGCTAGAGTCATCATTTGCTATCAGTACTAATAATACAACGTTAGCAGAAAAATTTCATGCATAGCTTCCACCAACCCAACATAAGAAAGCTCAAAGATTCTTACGGTTCAGGTTCTACACTGACAACGGGCACATCTCTTCTCAGCAAGAACCTGTTCTCGGGCACCGGGGGGATTTCTTCAGGACGTACCACAGGTTTGTCCCTCTTTGTGAGCACATCGACCGCTTTTTCTGTTACATCACTCTTGTCAGAAAGGCTGCTATAGGGAAAAACAGGCTGATAAATTAACAGTCAACTGATAAACTAGTCTTTTCAAAGCAAATTCCAAACCCAGCCCACATGATTGATGCATGAAGTTTTAAGATGGCTTAACAAACAAAAGGTGTTTCATTAGCAACCTATTTTAGGCACTGTTATTAGAAAAAACATTCAGTTCTCACTTCACAGCAAGTAATTTTGCTTTTAATTTGTCAGGAAATATTTTGATACATATTTGATTATGTTTTCAAAGGTCTGTTATTTGTCTAACGTCCCACTTTAACACAGGTATACTGAGCCCCAAATACTTTTAACACACTGAGCTTCACTCATTTCAAATTTTGCTCTAGCTTCTATCTACAAAGTTCTTAAACTCTTTTATGGAGAGAACTACTCAAGAAGCTCAGGTTTAGGGTTTTTTTGGTTACTTGGTTTTGGTTGTTTATGAAATTAAGCATCAAATCCAAACTTAAATAAAAGCATTTTCATATTCATTGTTCAAGTACTTCAAGAACGCAAATTAGAATTTCTCAGATTTCTCAGAAATTCTTAGATTTAAATACTAGTCACCGTCTTTGGTTTGAGGTTCGCTTGCACCTTGAATCTTCTTTCTTCCTCTCCTCTTTTCTGCGTTTTCTTGATTGTTTGGTTTTAGCTTTTCTTTTGCGCTTTCTTCTTCTGCTTCTTTCATTTTCAGCTTCGCTTTCAGATGACGATTCTGAAGAGCTGGATGCACTGGAGGAGGAGTCGGAAGCTTCTGAATCAGAACATACTTTCTTCTTCTTCTCCAAAGCTTAAAACAGATATTTTTAAATTTTAAGTGTGTACATGTGCACATGTATATGTATATACATCAGCACAAAAGATACAATTTTATTCATATAATATATACACACACTGCTTCAGAAGAGCTCTGTGAACGTTTTTCACAATAAGCTGCATTAAAGTACAATAATAAGTCATATAATTGTGTCCAGCCTAAACACACATCAATAAAATAACACAAATATTTTCCAGCAAAGAGTTGTAAAAAAAAAAACACCCTTTAGTTGCAAGAACTGCAAGAACTTCCATGCACAACTTGCACTCTGTAAGAAGATAGATCACTGCAGAGTCAAAACATTTGTAAATTAGTACACAGTAAGGTTGTAACTGAAGTTGAACATTAATCTGTGCCACGCTAATACACAGAAAGCATGAGAAATAAGTATAATTTTAAGGAGGACAGCTCCCTGCCTTTTCCTACTCTAAAAATGTATTTTAGGTTATACCACTGAATTCACACCTTTGGGTTAGAATTGAATACACAGATAAAAGAAACTTTACAGTAAAAAAAAAAAAAAAGAATAGTTTCTTTAGAAAGCAATGCTCATGTTGCAAAAAGTTTAAGAGAGTTGCAGCCTCAGCTGTGTATTTCTCATTTCTAAGACTTTGTCATTCTCTCCGTTCCGCACCATCATGCTTTTACATTATTTACCCTCTTGACTTTCTCTAAAGAACATAAATAACCACGTTATCCCTAAGGAAAGTCACAAGTGAAGTAGAAAACACAAACTTATGACACTCCACTGCTTTACAGCAACTGTCCAAACATCTATTTAGGGTAATTTATTCCCTAGGAACTCTCATGAAAAGGAAAATTATGTTGACCACACGTACCGCATGTATTAACATTACATGATCTTAAAATAAACCTGTGGAAATTGCAAAGAATTCAGCTTCAAGAAAAGCATGTGTTTGTGTCTCCATCTTCCCAGCTTGGAAAACCAAGTTCTAATTCCTTTCTGAGTATGTTGCGTTAACCTCAAACATTAATTAAGGAGAATAGGAAGCAGGCATACATTTTCCAAGGCACAAAGGTTTAGGTCAGAAAACCTTTTCCCTGCTGTGCCTCCCTCACCTACAAGATTTAAAGGCTTGTAAAAATTAACTAAGGTCCTAAGGTTTACCATAATATTTTTTAAATGTTAGCATAAATTTTTAGTCTCTGAAAACACTATCAACATTCAATTAACTTCAGAGAAACGTATGCTTACCATCTTTTGCCAACTGCGTAACAAGCACCCCGCAGTCAATAACTCGTACATCAGCATAGGGCCTACTTGCAGTATCAGTTTTCAGATTTTCTATTTGTTCTATTACTTCAAAACCAGAAATAACCAGTCCAAAGACAACATGTACACTGCAGAAAAAGTATTTGGAAAGTATACATTTACATACTGCCGTAATTATTTTCCAATCCATTTCAGATTTAAAAAGTCCTTCTGAAGTAGAAGCATTCAACTCTTAAAATATATTAAAGTTAAAAATCAGGTTTTCTTGTTACATTTACAACAATGCTAAGATTTCTTGCAACATGAAACAAAGGTCCACTCCAGTTCAATTTGAGATGAAGTACTTCATGTCATTCTACTCTCTTCTACATGCACAGGGTAAATAGATAATTTCTAACCCATCCTTCCACCTTTGAAATTTCATGCAAGAGAATAACAAAGAAAGCAAGTTTTCCCCAGAAAAGCAGCATTTATAGATCTATACAGAATCAGCATACAAATTCTCACTGGCACTGCAGAGACAACTATAATTAAGGAATCCCCAGTTTTGTTTTTCTATACCACATTTCTGTCCTTCCATTTGCTCCATAACTTTTGCTTCCGGGAACTAACGTATTCTGGGGTAAAAACATGTTTCAAAAAAAAAAAAGTACTATCCAAATATGTTAAACTTGACATTTCAACTTACTGATTTATGGACTGAGGGAAGCAACCAGTTTTGAAGAAAAGTGTTTTAGGATTTAAGACTAAGTTTTTGACCAGCTTTAGGAAATAAGTTGCAACTTGAATTTTTTAATAGGACTGAAAGTTTTGTTTTCCATCTTGTTCTACTGTATAATCTTTCGCAGAATTAAGAATTTTTCCCCACTGTTGTCTATGATCAATATAACATGTGAAGACTCAGCATCTTCAAATGTTAGTCATCACTGGCGAAACGATAAAGGATTCTTACCCATCGAGATGAGGAGCAGGTTTCGTTGTTCTGTTTGACAAACAGCAAGATGGTAAGATGATAAAAAAATAAATCAGGGATTCAGATGAAGTAAAGAAGAGAATGGTACAGAAAAAAAAAAGGTGAAGGTAAGACAAAATAGTGAAAAAATCCAGTTACATACATGGAATTAAAACACTTTACAGATTATACACACAGACTTCATTAAACTTTATATGAAATTTGTCTGAAGTTTAGCTAAATGTGCATACTTGAGAGATGTACCAAGTATTTTATGCATGCAATAAACAATCTTCAAATAAGTGTCTTTAAGTACACATTCAAATATCACTCACTAACATTTTTAATCACAGATTATAAGATACAATTTGGCAATAAATATTGGGTAACTGATGGAATTTAAATGTTCTGAAATTGTTAGGTTCTTACATTGTGAGGTCATTACATTAAAGTCCGTTGATTTAAAAAAAGTTACCACACATAAGATTATTTGCTTTTTTTGTTTTTCCTGCTACTTTCTTGCTCTCCATTTACCTGACTGACCTCATGACTCAGAATACAAAGCTATTCTTCTACCTTTAACCATCAAGACTATAGCACTTCAGCTCCTAAGCTCACAGGCTTCCCGAAAGCAAGAGCAGCACAACGCAAGCAGACGCTATACGCTACCCTACAGTGTATGTGTGTGCTAAATGCAGACTTCCTCCCTGTTTTCCAGCTTCCCACCTTTAACTGTTTCTAGCCTGAAAGGGAAAGGCAACTGCATTACATTTTGGACACTACCCTAATGCCAAATTTCTGAGTTGACTCCAAATTGGAGTATTCGAGGCCAGGCATATATAATTACATGTTAAGATTCACCTTTTTGATGCTTATGCTATGACCTGGTATTTCTCTCTGTCCTTTTCCAAAAAGGAGTGAAAATTACTTCTACAAGTGAATCTACATACTGCTGCAGAGGGAACCTTGCTAGGCAGACAAATTCAGTAAGGAAGATCAGAAATTGCATTAATCTTAGACTTATTTTCCCCCACAGTATATATAATCTGCATTTGAAGTTATTTTCATATTTTAAAACATTCTTCCTCTCTCCTCCCCAGAAAGAGCCTTCTTCCAATGAACTCCCCTCTCAAAATAAATGGTCAACCGCAGACGGTTTTTCTAAGTTTACAATGACACAGGTGTGGTACAATACAATTATTTTTTTTCACTGCTATAATAAAATACTACTTTATAAGCACATCTTTCACTCTAGTTGTGAACTACCTGGGAACAACACCCTGCAGTGTTGGAATACATGCCAAAAGATGGAACTGTGAATCAGGAGTGTTTACACTCTGATTTTTAAGCTCCAAATGCCAACCAGACCTCCTACTTCTATAATAATAATAATAATGAAAACTTCTTTGGTTTAACATGGAAACAACATTTCTCATTAGTAGGAGGCGTTCTTTGTTTTCTAATGCTAATACAGCATATTGCTACAAACAAAAATTCCTCCAGCTTTTCAAGTTCTCTAAGCAAAAGTTAACTGCATTAACAACCTGCTGTTAATTAAGTATTTTAAGCGGGCTCAATTATAAAGCTGATTTAAAGTAGTGAAAAATAATAGAAGTGGGTTACTTCAAGGAAACCAATAATGAACAAGACTTAGCGCTTAGAATTAGTTAGGAAAAGCAACAGGTTCAAACACACTTGAGAGATGAATGCTGCAGTAATGTGCTCCTGCCATGCAGCAGCACTTGAAGACCAACTGAGCAAGTTACCTAAAGCATGTACTTTCTTCAGACTAATCCTCATTAAGTAAGGAGAGGGGTAGTTGGTGCACTAACACCCATGTAGAGGTTTGTTCCATTAGAGTGGCAATGTGATAGGTAAAATGGAGAGGATTTCTCATTTACTTGCTCATAAAGTGAAAACACGAGGAAAAGCATCATCCAAAAAGAAAACTTTTCAGATGCATGACAAGGAGTTAGGTGACTTCGCCCACGGGAAGGAGAAACCCAGCTCCTCGTTGTGCCTTTGAAAGTTTTCTCATCTCAATGTTAGGGTTGTAACATGACATTTATTCTGCAAACGTGCACTTTAAGAGACCACTTCAAACCCTTCTGCCTATGTTCTGCCTTTCGATCCTCAAACATTTGCTTTGGCTTCAAGACTTAATCAGGAGAAAAACTACTTACTGCCTTTGCACTATAGAAGCCTGGAGTGGTGATGAATTCCTCCCCCAAAATAACACTTTATTAAAACATTTCTACACAGAACTTTTACAGTTTAAAACATTCAGAATCTGCCTTATAATATATACTATTATCCAAGCTATTTACAGGACAAATACCTTTCTTCACACAAGTTTAAAGTAAATTGGTTTAAGATACTGCTGAAGAGAAAAGCATCTTTCCGACAAAAGCATGTTATCGCCCACCCCCCCCAGCAGAATCTCAGTCCTAACAAAGGATTCAATGCACATAACAATATGATCAGAAAAAACAAGAAAGATAAAAAGAGAAAGAAAAGGAAAGGACACAGCCTTAGAGGAATGAGACATTACCTTTGGAGCGCACGATGTAACACTGTTTCTGTAAATTTTACACAAAAATGGCAGAAATAAATTGTAATACATTTTCAGACAAAACTGAGTCTATGTTTTATTAAATACAAGTTTAAAATGAATATTAATCAAGTTGTATGCAGAACAAGGATGCCTAAAAGAGGGCTCTAAATTTTCTTTAGAATACAAGGTACTTTGAAAACTACTGCAAGTGTTCCATAAAAAAAAAAGCCAACCAAAAAGAAACCTATAGACATAGTCTGCTTGCATACACTAGTACAAAGATAAGTGGGGTTAGGCAACACAATCCTCCTGCTCCCCTCCGAGTCTCGATCCAGCAAGTGTTAGAACACATGCACAACGTGAAGCAGATGAATATCTGATTTCAATGGGTCTATTCACACGCTTGCAGTTACGTAGGTGTTCAAACGCTCTGTTGAACCCAGCCCTGAGCATGTACTTCACAGGACAGCACACCATAGCTTAAACGTTTTGCTTTACAGATATAATGAGTTAAGTCTAGAACTTCATACAGTTCATAATTAGCTGACGTCCTCATTGTAGCATCAAGCTTACCTAAAACTAAGACTAGGCACTTTCTCTAAAATATGTGCATTGCTATGGGACTGCTTGTGTCCAGAATTATAGAAAAACCAAGCACAACGCAGATGCAAAAAAGACAATGTGCACCGACTAATACCATACTTCTGCTCTGGATTAATTCTGAGCAGCAGCAATGTTTTAAAAACTTCATTATCAGTTGAGCTTATCCATATTTTTTTTCTCCCAAGCAAGCTATTTGTTCTTCATTACCTGTCTGCTTATCTGAGCAGTGAAGTGATCTGTTTGTTGCTTACTACACACAAAAACATGCTATGAATGCTTTCACATGGGCTCTGCTTCCACATAAACTTTTGATCGAGCCAATGGGACCTGCTTGTGTGACAAGTGCACATGTACCACCTTTGCTCAAAGAGAATGCAACATCAGCCCCTTGGAAATATTTACGGTTTTATATTACTGTCAACTGTTCATTAATTAGCCCAAAGGTATTTTATTTTCAGTAAAAAAAACCCCAACCATTTCATTAATTAGAAAAATACCTGTTTTGGGACACCAAAAAGCCTTAGAAATGAACCACTTTTAATAAGCTAGTAACATTCAGAAATAATTTGTAAAATCAAACCAAAAAAATTCCTCCCAATTTATTTTATCCTTCATTTAGCAGCTCAAAGCAGTTAGTTTGTTTCAGTTTAGTAACTAGGCATGGCACCACACATGAAAAACATTTTTAAAACAAAAAAGCTACTTCGTTTTGAGTAAGAAAGCAGAGCTTGAGAGACACATTAAAACAATACCCTCTGTATGGGAAAGAAACCCAAAATCTAGCAGTAATAGCAAAACAGCTTCAAGTTTCAAATAGCTTTTGAACAGAGGCAAGAAATCCAGTGTGTGAACTGGGAAGGATCACAGCTGAGGACTCCTCTTTAAACTGCAGTAAGGACCTATTCCTCAGTGAACTACGTAACTAAATAACAAGGCAATGCATTAATTATCAAAACCTTCTCAAGAACAACAAAGAAGTTGGTTACGTTTTTCCTCCTATCGTTTTCTTTATGCTTCACTGTGGACAGTTACTTCTCTTTTTCTAGTAAATGTAGCTTGACAGATTTTCGTATGACAACGGAAGCAAAGTTAAGCCCATGCAAGCATTTGTAGGATCAGGACTCATTAATTATTGCATTTATCTACTCGTTATCACAAGTTGCCCTTATTTTGTATTGCAACTTTCCTTACAAGCAGGCTGGGTATGGCCACAGGCATGACGGAGTTGGTCTAAAGAGACAAGATACCATTATCAGATCAGTAGGACCAAGAAGCAGAATACATTGCTCAAGAACACCACCACCCAACAAGAAATACAGCCACTGAGCTGGAACATCCAAGAACAGGCTGACTATCCCCCTCCTCGCACCTCTAAATCAGGCACCTACAGACATAGTGATGTTTGTGCAATGCTCTAGGCTCAGTCCCCCAGTAACTACTACTAATCATCTTTTTGGCAGCAGTTCAAAACAGACATTGGGGTATATAGAAGAAAGATGATTCTAGAGTAGTTCCTGTCAATCTCTACGCCATCCTAGGGATATCCAAGTATCAACATGGAAACAGGACAGTTAGAAGAAGATGAACACCCTCAGGTGGAGTTTAGAACACTCGCTAAATAACTGATGGTTCTAGGAGAAATTATTTACAGAAAAAAGGTAAGTTAAATAGTGGTGCTATGTGAAAATATAAACAGCTAATTTACAAACTGGTATCTTACAACTGTGTTCAACACAAGCCTGCAATAAAATGCTACAACAGATCCCTTTGGGTATAGAAAATTCAAATTCCAGTAGTTCACAAATCCAAACATTATCAAGGGGTAGTCCCTGTACCCTTTCTGCTGGATTTCAACAAGAGACATTTCTTCAGACTAGGCAATATTTCATAGACACGTGTGAACAGACT